AGATACTTTCGATTGTCCCAATACGTGTTCTCGTTCAATACAGTAGCATAAACGTGTTCAAATATAAAGTGCCTTATTTTTGAAATAAGGTGAGATGAAATGATATACTGGTCTGGTGAGCTTTTCCAAAACGAACTTTTGCACGTAAATCAATATTGTCATTTAAAAACGCAGGTGACGGTCTAATTATTATTCGCCAATTATTTTCAATATCTAATAAGTTTGAGTCTAATAAAAGATAGAAGCAAGCACATGTCATAAGTTGAACTGAAATTGGATAAAATTATTGAAATCGTTTTCTAACCGAAATATCCATAGGGCGCGAAAGCAAAGTTGCCGAAAAAATAGTTCCCCGAAATGTTTATTCGTGAGATTTATTCAGCTGTTGTTAATTGATGTGTGGCAGTGAAAGTAAAATATGACTGGTCGTTGAGCGTGGACAAATAGCCACAGCTTATAGACTATTAACTATTTAATTTTCTTTCTTATTATTGATTTCTACTCTGGAATCACTGTGTGCAACCGCTTGTAATTGTAGTGAATAAAGTATTCTCTAGTGTTAATCTGATTCTCTATTTTGGGTCGTAAATCCTGGTTCTGATATAACGTGATTAGTCTTATAAATATATTGACGTGATATCGTAATCTAAGTGTAAGAGGAAAATATTGTTAACCATCCGTTATACCAGTAATAAAAGCTGAATTTCTTATCACACTAAGTCTAAAACTTATGACTTATTTGCCTTCCTGTTTGTCATTCGTCAAGTAGATGGAATTGTTTCGCAGTTATAGCCGTTGTTCGAAGCTATTTCATAACATTAATAAGATAAAGCTCTTCATTAACGTATAGATTGACTAATTCCTATCCATGGTAACGGACTACAATAAGTGTTACGAGTACGACAACCTAACAAAGAAGTTGAAGTTAAATAGACGTACGTATTGACATGTCTACATAGTTAAGTAGAATGTAAGCAATTAATGGAAGTATTCACGTCCACGATATGATTACAATCTAGACTTTTAAGGGACAAATAAAATTGTACTTAAATTAAGGTTGATAGGTAATATTGTTGTCGCACGCAAACTAATCAAGAATACAAGTATTCTCCTGTCAAATGGTTGTTTTAAACAGTGAATAGAAGAAAAGTTGAGTACACGTAATAAAAGGCCATTACATCGTGAAAACTGTTGTACATTGATATTGTTCACACTGACAGTCAGACGCTGTTTCTATCGCCTTAAACCCCATGCCATCGATGGATTCAGAAAGCTACTAACTTCTTCAACGAAGATGATGCTTGTTCTTAAGGATTTAGATGATATTCAGATGGTGTTCAAGACTAAATTTTGATCAACGTTCGCTATCAGTTTAAAGAATTATAAATACGATCAGGCGTTGCATCCTGCATTGTAAAGATATATTTAAATCACTTTACCTTCCAATTTTTTCTTGGTAGTTCATGATTTAAATCTTATACAACCAAGTAGAATTGTTATTAATTTAATAACAATATATCATACTTTCCTAATCCAGATGCCTTAACCGTTTTCTTCTAATCGATTTATTGGGAAAATTCAGGAACGATTTCTGATCTTCTCAGATCATGATTTCAGTGAATGAATATGACATAAAAACGACAAAAATTTAATATTGGTTTTATAGAATTTTGAACATATTGAAGTTTTTAACGCAAAGTATTAATATACTTTTTTGTATGCTATCTAGCTCTGGTCAACTGAACGTTGAATTTAACCAGAATGTTTTCTAATCGTTTTGAGTTGTTAGCGTATGAGGCATATAGGACTCTGAATTTTTGGAACTTATTGGTGTATAATGTGCTATTCAGATATTATATGACTCATTACTTGAAGTTAGTTTGGCTGGCTTCACCAACATATTTAAACTATTCAGTTCTCATATCAGGGGAAATTTCAGACAGCAATAAAAATTCTTTTACGTAAACAGTTATTTTGGATGAGTATTTTGCCAACATGGACTACTATCAACATACCTAGGTAATCGTTATCTCGTCAGCATTCGTTTGAATTACAGATTGCATAGTTGTGTTAAGTAAACTCACTGGAGGTTCCGATTCGCTACTCCTGTAATGTAATAATTTGTTTTTTTTTCTATAGTAAACCTGTTGATAACAGAGTACCTTGAGAAATCCCAATAAGAAAAAAGTAGTTAAGCGTGACAATAGTAAAATGAAATTGCGTTTATGGCAAAGAGGATGAGTGATAATTCGTTTGTGTAAATAAACAAATTAGCTTAACTTGAGGTAACGATTTCGAGGATCCCAAATTGTTAATCCACTTAAATCATGATGAAAACCTAAGTTTTGATAATCGTTTCAAAAATGGATGGCACTATAGAAATGCTTTGTAGTTACACAAGAGTACAATAATTAATGTTTTATAAAAAATTATTCAGTAAGAAATAAAATGTTTTGAAGATAATCTAGCTCTGAGATCACATTGTGGCTTATATTAATGAGAATGTGATTAAAATAAAATAATTTTGAATATTCTGACTTTTCATACTTGCACCGAAACCTAGTACAAGTTAAATTTCGGTTTAGATTTCACTCGCAAATCATGACTGACACACTTTTCATCGAACTATCTACTTTCATGACTAAAAACAAAATGAGCGGTAGTATGAACTGAAACAATTCATAATACATCTGATCGTTATGCAATTCATGAAACTGAAACGCTTGGATAACTAATTTGTCCCTACTATAAATGATTTTTACATGAAGTAACCAAACAAGCGATTCTAGTTGAACCGTTAGTAAATAGATACAGATCGATTAAGAAAAAAGAGTAGGTAAATTCATTTACCGTGAACCTTTCTCTCATCAAAATTTTTAAAAAAGTACATCTTTCTTAATACACTGAAGCGTGATAGGTAATATGTTCAGCAAAATGAAATCACTTTAACAGCTGATTGATTAATAGGATTAATTCAATAAATTCAATTGTGACCTGATAGATAAAGAATCCATTTACTTTATATACATGAATTTTATGCACAGAGTTGGTGTGATTTAGTTCTAAGTAAATGGTCTAAAATACAACTATAAACGAAATAATAGTGATACTAAAGTATTCAATTACTCAATATATTCAATTATTCAGGTTTACCAATTTTAAAACACCATGACAAATATATAAAATATGAGAATTCTGAACCGCTAAAACTATAGAAGTTAATTTAATTTAACTTTATTAAGCAAATATTTAGATGTTGCGTTTACTATAATTTACAGAAGGAATGAATTAGACTATCAGCTAATGTAAAAAACAGTACTAATTATGTAACATCTAAAGGATATGGATTCAGTTGATTGTTTCCGAATATAATCTTAAATTATTATATCTCATCAAGAACGATGTATTATCAGATTGATAATGTTAACAACATTAAATTCATAGAAAAATCATTCGTTTACTAAGTAAAATAAATAATTTTTCAGTTTGTCTAAAATTAATCAGTCGTTGGGGGGGGGCAAACGTTTTGTAAACAAATAGTTATTGAGTTACAAATTGTAAAATTTTAGAGATTTCCAATCAATTTTTAGATAGATAAGAATCGTCAAAATCAAGAAAAAATGACGTGAAGATTAATGTACAAAATTCACTAGTTCAACTTACTTCCAACGCACCATAATAATATGGATTTGTAAGATGATTATTTTACAGTAGTATTTGTAATATGAACTAAGAAAAGTAAACATCTTGAAGAGGATATCCTACTAATTGAGGGTTTTTTTTAATATTAACATCTGGACTTACATCTTACCATACTCTTTTTCCTGATAAAAAAATGTTCTCTAGTCAAAAATCAATCATTTAAGAAGTTGATAGCAGCAATACTTAACAAATAATAAAACTAAGAATTGTTTGCATCTTATGCTAACAAAGTTTTGATTACTACACATTACTATACGTTAGAAAACTGAAAATTAAATATATTCGCGTAGAGACAATATTACCGTTCATACGAGCCTCATAAATTATAAACTAAATGAATAGTTCAACGCATCAACTGTATAGAAAATGTAATTACAATGGAATCGTAAGATATGTTTAACGTAAGTAGTATTGGTATTAATGAAAATGTTAAGAGTTCAAGTTGTATTGACATAACAAACGACAGAAACTGTCGTTACTAAAATTGGAATATATCATGTTCATCTCTGAGTAATAACCAAACTCATCATTGTTTACTCATAATTGCTAGTCAAGTACTGTCAACTAACTTGAATTAATCAATGCGAATACCTCATTTCTTAAGACGGTTAAAATAGCTCGATTGTAGCATCTCTAATATCAACAACAATTAACACGAATTTTAGCCTGGAGGAATTCAAGAAGCATGAGGACAATAAATAGGTACTACGTAGTGAACATAGCATTTCGAATCTACGAAGTTACAATTTCACAGCCTCTCTGATTTCCAGGAGTAACGTTTGTAATTAACGCTTCATAACACCTATATTACAACTTGGCAGTAAAGACACGAGCGAAACGCTTACCTTGAAACAAATTAAAATTTAAGTACACATTGATATTGCTATAATAAAATAAGTAACCTGTATTACATCATACTTAAAACCCTATAAGTAGAATCACGATACGTATCTGAACTAGATCTATGTGACTCAAAAATGCTAGTTACAAATATTTAACATTCGAGTGATTAATTATGATCTTATTGTTAGTTTCCATACGTATAAGAGTGATTAAAACGGATTCGGTATTCTGAGATGTTGGTAGACTATTGAGTTTTTTATATTACTATTTCTGAAATTATATATATTACTGTGCACTATTGACAGTACTAAAAATTTGTAATCTAACTAAAACCAGTATTTGATAGAAAACAACTGTCCAAATAAAACAATGATATTTCTTTTTTTCTTTAGTTTATATTCACTTACCACACAACAATAAAATGAACATTAATGTAGCGAAATACTTGCTATAAAATCACATTCACATATATAAATTATAAAAACCAGAACAATTGCATATAAAAATGTTTTGGTTGGGAAAGTTGATAGGAACATTTCTAAATGGAAAAACATCCACCTTGTTTATACAAAAACAAAGCAACAACAAATCTTAATAGCTTATTTACTAAAAATCAAAATGTTCTACTTAATTTATTGAAAATTGTGGCAAATGTACCTTTTTTAATAAAGAGAACTAATCTGCTTATAAATAAATGTATAAATTGTAAATTGCTCCATTACTGTTTTTATTTGTTGTTCTTTTTCAACTTGTATCATCTAATATTGCCTCTGTACCTTCAATACCATGATATCCAACTCGTAGAGATTTACACATAGTAGTGCAACAATTGCAGATTTTACAACGCTTTGACATTTTTCGGTCTTCTATCCAAACGCTGGCGATTAGAGCTGTAAAAATATATAATGAAAAGAAAAACTATTTTGTATAATGTAACTGTATTATCTAATAGTTATTAACAAACGTTAATGCTAGTAACTTTCTGAAATCTCAACACAGCATACTACCGTATGATCATTTAAGTTCAGTGAGCAGTATATAATCTTTTTGATATACATAGACGCTTGTCTTCTTACGAAATTTATTACAGTTCATACGAAATACTGATCAATGATCAACTGTTTAATTTTACTTGGGGGATATACTAAATCGTTGTAACCCAACATTATATAATTCGGCGCTAGTATTTGTTCATTTGTGTAAATTTTTAGAACGCAAATAATATTATTGACGACAACGGGTATAGTTATTGAATACATAAAAATATTATGTAAAATACAAGCTTAGCTTCCAAATAATAAAAGTTCTAGGATATTTTAATAACCTGAAAATGATCACGAGAAATAAATGGGGATGAACTACCGTCAACAATACAGAACATTAACAATTAAGACATTTGTGCATTACTCATAGAAGTATTACACTCCCAAATAGTAACGTAAACCTCTCAAGTCGTCTAAAAATTGTTTATAATTGGAAGTGCTTATCAATAAAAAGATCATGAAAGATAATGCATGATTTACTTAACATTCATTGTTATAGTGAATAACAATCATTTGAGCTATATGCGAATGTTTTTAGACTAACATTTACTGCCCGAAATTCCTCCGACAGACGCTGTTGTTCCGTTCTGTGAAAGTGACTGAGACAGTCACCGCTACATCTAGTGGTTTAATATTCGGTCAAGATACCCTGTTTACTCGTAAAGACGGATCATTTTAAGCAGACGCTGGGAGAATACGAAAATGAATAGGAAAGCGCATTAGCAAGTAACGTATATACAGTCCTACGGTTCATGCTTGTTTATGTGCAAACAGAACTAGTCTGATAATGATTTAGTCTAGGAGAATCATCGCTTACTATAGCTCACCAACAGGCACGCAGATCATCATTCAATCCCGTGAATCTTGTCCAGTTTGCTCAGTATAACACTAAAATAATCTGAATTTCAACAAACTATAAACAGTTAGTACACAAATATATCTTACCAACTATGCACACGCAACCACAACCAGTAAATTGTACCAAATAAGCATTCGGGGTATTAATGAAGTATGTAATGATCGCACAGAGAATACTCCCAACCGTCTTAAAAAGATTTTCAAAAAATACCAAATCGCAATATTTTATTAAACAAACTTTTCTCTTTTTGTTCTACAAGATCGAACGAAATAAATATGAACGAATGCGAATCATCATAAGTAGAACAACGTTATTAAGTAGATAATAAGCTTTGGATCCACCGAGTTTAGAACAAAAATTGGTGCTAAACTGCTACAGGAGGTTAAGACGATCGTACATCTCGCTAGTTACGTGAGTTCTGATAAGAATGTTTAGGGTTATCACAAACATTATCTAGAATGGATTCAGTCTAGGTTTTTTTCTTCAGTCTCTTCATAACGATAGCTTCGCTATTAAAGCCCATGCTCATAACGTCTGATATGTACGTCTTTACCCGATGCATGTGAAATTCATCCTCAACAAACCTAGAATGTTCAAATAATGTGTTCTAAAATCACAACATCTGGAGAATTGCTTACTTTTAGGGATAACACTATTTCAATAGTAAAGTAGGGGGTTAGGCATATAGAAGTTGTCTTCAAATAGTGGAATCTTTCTGACGTGCTGTACTCAGGGGTTGTCTGATGTTTAACAAATCCATTTGCAACATCAATAGCGGTGAAGTGTTACTATTGAGAAGTTAGAAGAAGAGAATAATTAAGTTCAAGACACAAAGTTGTGAACTTCAAGACAATTGCTCTGAATTAGCAAATATGTGTATATTTAGGCTCCCTACAGAAGGGCTTAGTTGCGATGTAATTGATTCGCATGACATTTTGCTAATTATAGCTTAAAAATGAAGTCCACGATCATTGAAATACATTATCAGTTTAACTATTTGAACAGTTAAAATTAAAAATATTAAGAATTGAGATCTAAACAGTTTAAAATCACCAGCTATTAGTAACCAAGTAATGTTACAGAAATGGATGTTAAGTGTACCTAATGTTTTTTCTTAATGTTCTGCATTTACTTGTTGCCTGATAAAACTACTTTAGAGCCAATCTGACCACTGTACTGTAACCGCACTAAATAAGAAATTTTTTCTGAGCTACTAGTACCGTGAACTCGCATAAATCAAGCAAACCTTATCAAATGGTTAGAAATTTGAGGAATATGAACTAATGAAGATGCCTACGTAAGTTAAATCATCGGTAAGTTTAACCAATAAAATCAAAATACATATGCCAATGAGTCACGAGAAACTAGTTGTCATTTTATAAATACATGGAAAGTAACGAGCATCATCGGAATTTTAAGTATATCATTCAATAGTTTTAGTTATGACAGCAACTCAGCTAACGAAGAGATACTTTTTAGTCATGACATTAATCAGAATTAACAAAAATGAGTTATATGGCATAACAACATAAAAACATTCTAATCGCTTACAAATCCAGTGAAAATTATTCCATAATTCACCGCCATATTTAAAGGGCCAAACAGAATCCCAGTAGCCGCAGGTTGAATAACGAAAACACCACTCAGCGAAAAAAACAAAATGAAAACCCAAATAGCATACATAGCTTTTAATCCAACACTTGACAGTGATCCAATATGTGGGAATGATAATAGCACTATTGCCCAAATTACAAGCATGATCATCATTGGTATCTAAAATATATCGCCAAGGTATTAAGGTGTTATCCCAAGTTTTCAAATAAAAATACATGTTAGTTTATAAAGTCTAGTGAAGTTAATTTTTAGCACTAAAATTCTTAATAAATTCCCACTGTGGTAATAATATCACTTCATTTGATTAACATTTAAGTTGGCAGAAAAACTTGTTTGTCGAATGACTGAAACACAAAAGGACGATACTTAATGTATGTAACTAACTTTTAGATTCAAAAACATTAGCCAAGATCGGTTAACCAAGTTCATTAAATAGTTTGGGAAGAAACCCCACAACCCTACCGAACTGCAAGCGTAGTGTGAAATTGTTTTTTTTCAGTTAAACTCTGAGACTGGTGTTGTAATCATTCTTAATTTTTTGTTTGGTGGTCTCAATAATTAAAATAAATAAATGTTATGATAACTGAAGACTTAACATAACATTCGTCACTTTCAAATAAAAGACTACAGCAGCCATTTTACCTCAGACTATGTTTTATTACATGAAGGAAACAAGTTGCGCTTTATGATAGTCATTCTGGCTTTGTTAATACCAGATTATAAAAAATGCTTCAACGTTTGGTCTTCGCACATTAAATCTTAGTAGATAATCGACTATTATAACATTTAGTTGATGATTAAACACAGAAACGGATGTTTTAATTAAGAAATTCAAAACTACACAGCTAAATCTCCGGTCCCGTAAACCGAGACCAGTAGATTTAAACGTGATTTTTCTCCTAACAATAATTTACAAACAGTTGCTGATAAGATATTCCAGATAGTAATACCTCTATTGCATACCTTAAAGGATAATCGATCAACAATGGCACCCCAAATAACACGACCACCGGCATTGAAAAGAGATGAAAATGTAGCCACAATGGATAAGAATTGGTCATCATCAATATACTGAGCACCAAACAGCTAAACGAGTAAGAACAAAAGAAAATTGACATAAATTGAAAAGTAAGTACTGTGAGTTGTAAATTACTAGTTGAGGATTTCTCGTATAATAGATTTACTTAGGGCTTATAACTAATTAGTTTTGAGATACATAAACAGTATTTTTTTATTAGGTGAATACGGTAATTCAAGGCACCATCAATCCATTATTTCAATTGTTCCTATTTCATAATTGTAAAAAAACAACCATTGGAGATACAGAAAAATAATTTAAGACGTGTAATAACAGTTTAGCAACTCTTAATGAGCCCGGACTTCTGCTCCGCAAAGTTACATCTGTCTTCTCGAGTGGTTTATTTGCATACAGAACCTATTTAGATTAGACTATTTGATCTAGTATTCCTCAGACTCTGCCAACTTGACTGGTTTCAAAATCACAATACGACTTGGAGAGAAAGTTAAGACTTTCTATGAAAAACAACAAGTCAGTCTAAGTTATTGCAGATTCCAGTTATCTTCTAGCGTCGCTCATTTGAAAATGGACCAATCAGCGGGCTTCTGCGCGTCCTCTTTGGAATATCCTTTGATCAGATCTGGATCTTGCTAATAGATTTTTACAGATTTTAATAAAAAAATTTCAATAGCTCTTTTCTGTAAATATGCAGCAACTGCATCTTGAAATGTTTGGTCAAAATATTATTAATATTTTATGACTTAAAATCTCATTTATAAAACAATAATGAGTGGAGCTAAAGAAATTAACACTAGGAGGAACCACCAACTTCTGTAAGACCAATGAAAATAATATATTTCAAGAAGTATCAGAATAAACATGAATTCGTCACTCTGTTAAGGGGATATTCAGCTTGACAAATATGAATCTGAAGCAAAATAAAATGAATTAACTCAAAGTAAACAGATAGACAATGCACAACTTCAATCCTTATAATTTTGTCATTTATTTTTATTCAGGATGGGGGTTTATGGAAATTGTAGCAATTTAATAGTCGAATTCATGAGTCGATTTAAACTAGATCACCATGAAAAAAACTGCACGGCCGTTTCGTCTTAGCACGGGACCTCTCAGCAGTGCGCATCCACGATCCCGCACGCGAAACCCGAAATATAACAGATTTACGGCAACACTGAACAACAGAATTAGAAAAATTGACTTGAAAAACTCTCCGGCTGCAAACCAAATAAAGTAAACGAGAGTACTTTAGTTTCTCTGTACACGCCAGAATATTTATAGGTGTATAACGATGGTAAGGTACAAATAATGTGTAAGTTTAAAGGATGGATACGGAGAATGGTATGCTTTTCTATTATTTACCAGTATCTACAATGGATATATAAGAAAGATTAATAGAAGAAATTTAAAAAATAATGATTAAACTCTACTTCATGAATAATAATAAGACTTTGATCAACTAACTTTATAAGCCGATGTTATTATAGTGATTGGTATAATGTCACAGAACATTACAAACCATAAAAGATAAAAGTCTATATAATGAAACAATTGTTTGGGTTGAACGCAAACGTCCCTGAAAAAGAAATAGAAAAAAATGGGGGTTAAATTGGTACTGTACACTTATTCTATTATATGATTTCTAAACATTGACTAGTAGATTGTGAATGTTCTTAGTGTTTCACTGTTTACTATATTTCAATTTTCATAGGTACAGCTTCAGATGTCGATCCAAGCATCACCTTAGGTGTAGCTCCACACGGAAATCGACATCTTAGACCATCACAAAATATATTAATCACAAGGACTTATTTCGTAGTGCCACTCTAGATATTTTCAGTTAAGTGTATAATTTACTATTTATTTGAAAAAAATTACAGTAAAAAGTTCTGCAATCAACGCTATTATATGAATATTGTATTAAGGCACAACATTCAAAGTAGTAACTATAAAAGAATAAAAGCACAACAAATAATTCATTCACAGAGCTTTATAAAAGAAAACAGTGGACCTAAAAAATAAATTGAGAGCTGTTTGGTTAGGGCAAGAATAACTAATAACTAGAGCTGTGTATTATTAGTAACACACTCACAAGTTTGGTTCCTCTTGTGTATATTCTCTCTGAGGGAATCATTGAAAATCTTAGGTTAATGCACACATAATATAACTGATTTTAATACATTATTGAACAATTTACATTGAACACTCATTTAAAAATAACAAAACCACAATACAAACCTATGATAATTTATTCGATTTATTATTATTCAATAAAAAGACATTTCTGTTTTTATATTTTTAACAAAACTCATGGAAAAGTTGTTAAACTGTAATAATAATATTTATTATCAACTTACACAATGCACAATTTATTTGAGACTATCGAGTCAAACCTTGGTAATGACAATTACTAAGGGTATAGATGTGGTCTGCTTTGATTATGAAATACGCAACTATATTTTAAATTTCAGATAATAAATGAAAGGTAAAATACATGAAAAAAATCATTATCAAGTTCCGTAACCTCATTTTTGTGAGACCTTTTAATTTAATCAGTAAAATGAAACAGTAAGTAACACTTAATAATCCTATTGAAAGTCTTTATTTCAATAATGTTTTATATTTGAAAAGCATCAGATAATAATGAAACCATATATTATTTGTAAAATATAACTGTACATTACGTAAGTGACATTTGTAGTTTAAAATGTATGGAACGTTTCGAGAAAACAATACACAGAACATTATTCAGTAAATTAAATTTAGAAAAATGCCTAACAAACTTACAATAACTGGATTAGGATCAGAATTTATTCTATTCCGCACAACCAGTTCTGTGTCTCGATCTTGTGTCTAGTCGAAAGGAAGTTAATAAAAATTATTTAATGTATTATAGGGAGTGAGTGATGAGAAATTTACTAGAGTTTATGTTGGATATTATAAATATACTAGTATAAAGCAAAGTAACAGAACTTACCATGTTAATCAGCAGAATTGTTTATTCAAAACATGTACCTTCATCCACTACAAATTAATCGTTGATATTACCAAACTAGTTGTTTGATACGAATCCATTAGTGTATTGTTTACTATACACATGCAGGCATGTTAGTTCACTCAATAACTATTGTCCAAGAAATAAGTACACATTTTAACTGAAACCTCATAAACAAATACACTTATACAGTCACAAATGAATTGCCAAAACTTTTTCATAATTTCTTCCTATGTTTTAAACGTATCAACCGATTTGTAGGAAGACTGTTGGTTGGTGGTATTTTTTATGGAGAAAAAAGGGTATTATTATTTAACACGAATTCACTCGAACGCCCAAAAATCGTTCTTTTTTAACATGAATCAAATAAATCATGTTAAAAGTACTTTCGATTATTTTAAGATGTAAATAAAATGAGTAAGTTAAAATGTACTGTAAGTTAATATCAAAATGAATGAAAAGTACTTATTTCATTACTTACACTTTCAAGTGGTTTCGGACGCAGTAATATAAATCCAATTATTTGTAATGCAAGAAGAATACCACCAAGAATCAAAAACGCAACTGGAACCCGATCAAGGATATCAGGATGCGTAAAATGTCTGTAGAAAATTAAATGAGAAAAAAAGGTGTGCACGAAATGTATACATGTTGTTATAGTCAATGTACAGAACTCATGGTATGAGTTACAAAAGATAGGACCTACTCCCGATAATCACCCGATTCTAACCTTGTGGATAGAGATCCCTCTCACTCGATGGGAAAGCAGTGTTTCTATAAAAGTATGTGAAAACGTACATCAAAGCCTTTAAATTGGCTAGCTGATGTAATAAGTATATATAGGAGAATCGGTATATCCACATTTCGAAAGCAGTACAAATTTGCTGCAGTACTTTCAACAAGCGAATGTCATATAGCAAGGCGTTAACTATCGGCTAGCGTTGACCAACAACTTTGTGGATCAGACATTTGGATCAAAGGTTTAGTAGTAAAAGTCGTCAATCACGACCGTCTACTTTATTTAGTTTAGGTATTTGAAGAGCATGAGAGTCTCCAAATGAAGGACAGTAATCCAGAATAAAAATCTTACTGTGAGAGAGTATGCTCACAAGTTCTCGTATCTTACACTGAGCTCTTTAAATATAACCAAATAAAGCCGTGCTCCATTGTGCGCACTACCCTGAGTTCTGACTATATTCTACAATGTGCGACACCACTTTTGTATTTTGGTGGTGATCCCAAACAGATTGATGGACGTAAAATGGTTGCAACTAGCACTCTTATTAAGTACTCAGTTGAGATAAATATCAGACTAGCTATCAGCTGGTCAAAAAGAGTAAACCATCTGGACTTGCACGTGGCTAAGTGAGTTCTGATTGGAACCACTTATGATTTGATAGAACGCCACATTTATAAGTGCAAGATTTGAGTAGATACTTTATAACATCTTTACCTTCCAACAGTCAATAGGTTGCAAATGCAAAAGTGTGACTAATTAATGACTTGAGAAACGTTCGCGAAAGTCAGTTGAGGCCTCTAGAATGAGGCATAGGGACAACAAATATTGGTTCGGAAGTAAACTCAGATTATTCAACTGGATTCAATGAGAACATCTGTAAGGTTAATAGAACGACAGTTAGCAATATTCAAGAGCGTTCGCAATTTCAAGTAGCTTACTCCAGCTGAGGTTTTACTTGGTTGACCGTATTAAAATCCTAAACCAAACTATCCTATAATTTTAAAATGAAGAACATCAGCAGACCCACTAAAGCTCAGGTTTCAAATAAACTCCACTTGAAAGAACCGTTAAAAGATACCTGACACAGACAACTTACCATCACTTTCTTCAATGATGCATGGTGTTCTTCTCGTCTAAGAATTGACTGTGTGGTTTAGAAAAGGTATGGCAACGTGAGATTACTCCATTGCAAGAAAGTGATGATTGTATTCATTTTCAAAACAGATATGTCTGCTGACAGTATACTGAAAATTCGGCTAACACGACTTTCCTTATCTTATTTTCTGTGGTGTATTTCTTGGTACCACATCTCACCAAGCTATTATGTTATAAATAAGTAGATAGTATCTCTAGACATTACTGTACTTCACTTTCACAAAGTGTTTTCATGAAATAAAATACCATTGGTTTGAATGAACGGTCCCGAATTCCAATTTTACATTTCGGCTGAATGCTGTGACAACCACACCTTGAAGTCATCATAAAAGTCTAAGTGTCCGCTCATAAACGTTACTCACAAACTTAGATGCTCATATTATTCACCCAAATACATTGTGCTTACAAAGTTAATTGACAAACCTAGATGGTTTTTCTCTTCTTTATCACAGAATTTTAGCTATTACCTGTCTGTTCTGTCGAGTGGATGTGGAGATAATCTTTGATCCAGCTACATTTGACGTAAATTTGAATCATTTATTAACACTGATTTAATTCGCTTTTGACCACTGAAATACAAGGCCTGTTACACACCAACATTACCATAATCGGACTCCGAAATTGTCTGAGTCTGTATTTAAAAGGTGATAGAAACGTTGACACTGAAAGTTATGATGGCGACAATAAAAGCTTCTCAGCACAAGTTGCATAGACGCAACACTAAAACTGTCAGTAGCCACTACCTCGTTTGACAATCGACGTGTGTTCGATTCCCATCCCCTAAAGTGTTTGCTGTCAGGTAAACCTGAACAGGACACGCAGTATCAGAGTGTTTGAATTAAGTTCAACGATGGTGAACAATCTTATAAAACAACTGGTGCAAACTCAAAGCAACTGAGACGCATCAATAGATATATTTGTTGAATTAGAAATTTAAAACATGACATAAACCGTATTCAAATACAGCAGTAAAACGTTTCATCATGATGCTCACAAAACAGTGAATCAGTGAAATCTGTATAACATTTTTAGGTGGTTGTGAGTATCCTCCATAAAATCTCCTGATCGCGGTCTTTGTTGCTACCAGGGTTTCAAAATCAGTCAGTCAGGTACAACGTAGGACCAGTCACATATACTCATCAGTCCAAGTTTTCACTCGAAATCACCACAGATGAGTGCTTTGAGAAGCCACTTCTAGAGTTTTTGTCTTACGATTTTAACCCAATAGATTAAATTTAGGAATTACGTCATTGTAATAAACAGAGTATAATGAAAGCAAACGTCATTATTATAATAAGATCATCAAAAATATACTCTATCGGTCTGAACCAAAATTTTCGCAACTCGACTACGCGAAAACTTAATACTTCTAAATCTGCTTCAACATCTGAATTTTACATACGTTACATACGTCCTGAAAATTTACTACTTAGTCATTTGCTTTGTAAGAACCCTAAATAAAAAAATTTAAGACTTTCCTGATAAATCTTATCAATCATGTACGTAGTACAATGATGTCTTGTGCGAATTATCTAATAAATAGTTAATTTCTACCTACAAGTTACATGTACAAAATGGATGCACGAAACTCAAGTTCAGAACTACAAACTAAATGACAATTTGTAAGTACTCTGCAAGTTCTAGGTTATTTAACTGTTCAAAATGAACAAATTCGTTTCAAAGTAACAGTCCAAGAACGCGCTATTAGGAACAATAAATAAAGCTAGACTTTTAGTAAGAAAGCTTTACACTTATAAAGATTTAAAAATATAGTAGCAATATGTGTGTAGTGCTTACAGATTTATCATAATGATATTGACTTCGACAGCATACAGATGAACAAACGGATTACTTTATGTAAATTTTAACCAAAAAGAACTAAAAGTAAATAATACCTTGTTTTTGGGTCAACAGGGATATTGCTTGGATTGATTAAAGCAGTTTCGATCGGAGTGAACACCAGGGCTCCTAAGCCAAAGCCACCAACAATCACACCAACTATGAGACCACGTCGTTTTGGAAACCACTATTATTCGGTAATTACATGGTTTTTGCACAAATGGATATATGAAATCAAAAACGAATAAGTGTCAAAACACCATATAATCTAGTATGACAAAGACTTTTAAAACTAAAATCGTGCCTACAAACCAAATTCACTTCCATAAACATACTAAATAAATGCTTAAATACTAAAATTGAAACCCGAATGTGAGAGCTTGTGGTTGAGTGGCAGTTGAGATCAATCCACATACGGAGAAAACCAAAATGGCTTGTGGCAATCAACGTCATTTCCCGGCACCACCGTGATGTAAGTTTGGTTGTAAAATATTGGATCTACAACTCAGTGGCGTAGACAATTTTATATTATACTTGAGAAACTTGACTACTGTGAAAGGTGATTGTGTTTGATTATTGTTATTTTCGAAGGATTAATGACATTGTAGCAACACTATGTAGACAATTCTATGATTCTGCAATGTGATAGAGAGCAGTGATAAAAATTCAGTTAATGTTACAATATAAAAACACCGGCTTCTATGGCTTGTAAATATGTTGCGATTATTTCAGCAGCTCCCACCTCTCGCACCGATTGCCGACTCAGGGACTAATTGAAAAAAGTAGAGGTGGTTAGATTATGATAAGGCGTCTACGTATGAACAAGCTGTCTAGTACTGGCATCGATGGATCTATTAGGAATCTCCAGCTGGAGTGTTGATGACTGTGTGTTTCAATGACTTGAGGAATTACCCAACGTAGTTTACAATAAGTCAGAGGAGATCGTTTTATAATTCCCATTTATATTTTTTATGAGTAAGAGGACCGTATTTTTCATTATATACTATTCTTTTTTACTTATTTTGATAATTTTAATCCACCATCTTTATTCCTTCACAGTCTTATTTCTTAATCTATGGGCTATACATTCTGAAGTCTCAAGTTATATTAAAATTTGTTAAAAATAACGATGAAAAAAATAACTTCATGCTTGCACTAGAATATTACATTTTAGAACGTGTAATAAAAATGAACGATGTTGTAAATATCAAGTAATCTGATCCCAAGAATAAAATTTATCTCATAGATTAGTTCAAATCTTACCTCACACAGTTGTCACCATATATGAAAACCAGACTCACTTTGGTGAGCTCTATGATTTACTGTTTACAATAACACAAAGCTGAATTGACTTTAGCAACAAACAATTTTACTGTCCATAGACTTCAAGTGATCATGGCCAGATAAAACATTATCACTTTTATGAAAAACTTTGAAACGTAGACAATTTACTTTCTTACCGTTGCGGCCACAGACAATACTACGGAATAGCCAAAACCCAGACCCAACCCTTGCAGCACAGAATACGTAATGATGACTCCAGGAAAGGACCTCTGTACAGTGACGTAAGTCAGAAAAATACTAATGCTGCAATTAGGAAAACGAAAACACCATAACACATTTACACTGGTTTTTTTCAAAATAAATACTAAATTGTATAATATTGAAAATTGAGTCCGCCTCTGATAAGAAACTGATCAGTTCAAACTAAATATTTGCTCAAATCAATACACTGAAATTTTTAAATTGAGTGATTTGATATAGTAGATCAAATAGGCAGCCCCGAAAAGCGTTTTTAATCTAAAAAATAAAATGATTTAGTCTAACATTTCATCTCAAATCTGCGATTTTAAGACTAAATAAAATTAAAATGTTGCTATTTGAGGATACAAGTACAAACAATAAGTTTTGATGTAGGTCTATGAAAGATATTTGGGAGAACGAAACTGGATCTTTCACTTTTTGACCTTTCAAAATATTTTGAAATAATAAATTAAGTTCATTAATGTTCAGTACGCTCATCCGGAAATCCGTCTGAATCCGCCACCAGTGAAATTTTGCTCCTTGTCTTCAATCGGAAGGAGTGTTGTGGTGGCCTATTAGAACTAGTGAAAAAATTCGTGTGCTTAGTTAAATATGTGAGTATTTGTGGCTTATCCCGATATAAATCATCTTTGGTACCATCTTGATATTTGTCTAGTTGTAAAAGTTCAGGGTTACATTTTATCGGTGAGAGCAATCCTGCTCTATGTCGTAAATCATGGCCTCATCCAATTAAAGGTGTTAAATGAGTCGCTGTGTTCAGACATCGATACCTCAGAAGGGTTTCTAAAACTCACTAACAACAACATGTTAGTAAAGTGGTGGTTTGCTAATGCGTTCTACAACAGTCAGGATAACTCGATCGGTGTCATCATGTTGAAACATCAACTTCAATGTCCTGGAAATGCGGTACGAATGTCAACTCAGAGACTTTGACATCGTAGTTTGTCCGTCGACTCTGTGACTGGCTGGAAAATGCGGAGGGATAATCAATTTGTAGCATGGATTCGGGGTATAAAAGAAAGCTTTATAAAACTGTTAACTATCGGCACATCACGAATTTTTAGTTGAGATCTGAAGGATAAAGCAAATTAGTAGCTTGAGACACTGCCAGATATGAATCAGAATAAAGGAGGTGAGCTTAGTTAAATGAGAATTCTCCCTAGCTGTATTTTTTAACTGACTTGTTTCTTCTATTATAGTTTATTCTTGTCCATTTATTTTTCTTTACTTGTTCACTTGATTATACTCCCTATCCTTTCTCTATTCCTTCACAACCTCATTTTCTTATTCATGTGGTGAATATTCATTTCCGTGCTTATTTGTACCAAAATATTAAGACAAATAATAATGTAGAAAGACACCGTAACAATCTCGAATATAAATGCTAAGTCTTACTATGACGAAAAAAACGCCATAGCAACAAGTGAGACTTAATTGACGTAAGTAGATTTAAGTCAAGCGTTCAACGCTTAGAATACCTTCTGGTAAGCGTGTGAAAATGTTTAATCCAAACCTTAGCGCTATAGTATAAGTTAGCAAGGCCCTCAAACGTGAATAAAAAGCTATAATAGCTAAAACTGACGGAAAATGTATAGGTTAATGCAATATGCATTTGCTTGATTTCTAAATCGACATTATTCATGTGAAGTAACTACATCAAAACACAAAGTAAGAGCACACAACGAACTGAATAAACAAAACTCTTACCTATCAAGTAAACAACTGACAGCAACAACAATACGAAAGCCCCACTTCCTGGCAACCAATCCCCCAAATGGCATAGAAACGCCCTGCATAGCCAAAGCAATACCAGATATCCAAACTGATGATGTGTTTGGCAACTCCGGGTCAACCCGTACTACGATGTAACTAATAATATAGGGTACAATGTTAGCTGAGAAGGTAGTAAAAGTAGGTAAACATACCAGTACTATAGAAGAAACCAAAGGCGAAATGGATTAAAACACCTCCCAAAACTGAGATGCACCCAAAAATTAAGTTCCGAACTTTTTCTTTCTACATTTAAAAGAAAGAGAACTTAGGAACAACAGACGAGTTACCATGTGATTGTAGTCCTAACGCTATCGATAGTGTAACTTCAAATTGTTTATATAACTTTTTCAGGAAGGTCACGCAAAATCCGAAATAGTTAAACACAGGCTTCAAAAACAAAATCAGCTAGAAAGTCAACTCTCATACTCACCAGTTTTATGACTTCAACTAACTGTATTATTTATTCATAATATACTTAAACCTTTGTATAGACTCGGAGGGAATCAGATGTTCCTGAGCGCTCGCTTTTCGAACGGGAAGTTTAGTACTAAAGTGATTTGCATTTATCAAACTTTTGCTGTGTTCTTACGCAACGAAAGTACCATTTCAGTTCTAAAGAATCTATCCTGGGCTATACGTTCTGTAGATTACTTGTTTTTAGTTTCACCATATCTAATAGTTACCTGTAATTACAATTGATTGATCACTGGGTGGTGATCAATGTCTTGCTTGTCTAGTCCTTATTAGTGCAGATCGAGTGCTATCGATCATGTTGCAATGTGGCCACCAGTCTAGGTGACTCGACACTGCGGGCACTATGTATTGAGATTTAGATGGTGGTTGGAGGTAGTCAACAGGAAACCCTGGACCCGGGTTTCGTGCTACTTGGCACTCGTCAGCAAGGTGTACCTGTAATCTTGAGGGAACTGGTGCTCCCTGGCGGATTCGATCTCGTGTCACCCAGCTTCACAGTCAGAGACGTTACCACTGAGCTATCCGAGCCGTGACTAACCTCCTGTAGGACTGAGATGTAATTACAATTGATTGATCACTGGGTGGTGATCAATGTCTTGCTTGTCTAGTCCTTATTAGTGCAGATCGAGTGCTATCGATCATGTTGCAATGTGGCCACCAGTCTAGGTGACTCGACACTGCGGGCACTATGTATTGAGATTTAGATGGTGGTTGGAGGTAGTCAACAGGAAACCCTGGACCCGGGTTTCGTGCTACTTGGCACTCGTCAGCAAGGTGTACCTGTAATCTTGAGCGAACTGGTGCTCCCTGGCGGATTCGATCTCGTGTCACCCAGCTTCACAGTCAGAGACGTTACCACTGAGCTATCCGAGGCGTGACTAACCTCCTGTAGGACTGAGATGTAATTACAATTGATTGATCACTGGGTGGTGATCAATGTCTTGCTTGTCTAGTCCTTATTAGTGCAGATCGAGTGCTATCGATCATGTTGCAATGTTGACTACCTCCAACCACCATCTAAATCTCAATACATAGTGCCCGCAGTGTCGAGTCACCTAGACTGGTGGCCACATTGCAACATGATCGATAGCACTCGATCTGCACTAATAAGGACTAGACAAGCAAGACATTGATCACCACCCAGTGATCAATCAATTGTAATTACATCTCAGTCCTACAGGAGGTTAGTCACGGCTCGGATAGCTCAGTGGTAACGTCTCTGACTGTGAAGCTGGGTGACACGAGATCGAATCCGCCAGGGAGCACCAGTTCCCTCAAGATTACAGGTACACCTTGCTGACGAGTGCCAAGTAGCACGAAACCCGGGTCCAGGGTTTCCTGTTGACTACCTCCAACCACCATCTAAATCTCAATAGTTACCTGTGGTTTTGCCTCAGCTTACTATTCGGTTTGTTTTGTTTTTCACGTATAGACTAGTTTCAGTTTGTAACACTCGTTTTATCCATTTTTGTCCGTTTTCAGTGTGCTTTTTAGTGTTTTTTAAAGGTCTTAGGCTTTTGCAAGCATCTATAACATAGTTTGCATCATCATAGTCATGAAAAACTCATACAAACGTCCGGGATAACGTTTTGCTGTTGCAACTTGCATGCAGTGCGACAACTGCAAAGTTTGGTTCCACGAAGCATGCACAGATCTGACATCAACTGCTTACAACAGACTCAGCAAGTCAGGCCAAAAATGGGTGTACGTCACGTGCAGCACGGACGCTGTATTCTTGCCGACAGGTCTTCGGAACAAGTTGTCAGTTAACTTGGACAACGATAGTAAAATACCGGTTGACAAACAAGAGCGTGCGACGGATACAAAAACAGGGATGTCGATAGGTATACCATCAATGGATCATCCATCAACACTAATGATGACGTGTCGAGGCTCAACACCATCATTACGTTGAAGGTATTAGACTCCCTAAGCAAACTCGGGTCTCCCAGCTCAGAGTCCCTGAACACAACAGTGGTTCCCAAAAACCCTGTAGGTGATTCGACCCACGTTAAGAGAGCCCAAAATAACCAGGCTTCACCACCTAAGCCGAGCAACCCAAGTGTTGCTGTACGGAAATTAACTGGTGATTTGGTCTCACAGTCTTCTCCCAAGACTGTTCGTCCGGTCAATAAAGAGCCCAAGCCTCATAAACGCACACTGACCTCCAAACAGCAAGTTATTAAACATGAACCCACCGTGAAACCTGGTAAATTAATAACAGTTCGTGACGATTCTCTCATTATCACGAAGCTCGTTGACAATCCTGACCTTCCTCCCAGTCTGCAGGACAAAAACGACAGGATGCTCTGGGGTGAATTGAACAAGAAGCTCGAACTTCCTAAAATAGAGCCTTTGATGTTCACCCGGCTCACTCGAAGAAAGGACTCTAAGCATCTAAATCACTCAAGGCTTCTCCGAGTAACACTTAAGAATGCTACCGACGTAGAGGACGTCTTACTAGCAAGTCACTTGCTGAAAACAGATGGTAACGTAAGATTATTGCCCGACATACCGTACTCTGAGCGCGATATCATACGAAACATCCTTAAAGAATCTCGCGAGAAGTTTTTCCGCGGAAGAAACATAATTGTGCAATGTATACTGGAAAATGCAGACCCTACTCAATCAAATTCTGACATCAGTGAATGGAAATTCATCAAACAGTCCTTGAGGCTCAAACACATACTGACTCAGCATGTGACGAGATTAGCCAAGAAGGACGGTGATCTTAGACCCCGTCTAATGAAGATAACCTTTCCATCTTCCCACATGGCGGCTGCAGTTCTGAAAGCATTTCGTGCCAACAGACGTCGATTGCCACCTGGAATCCACATGCACACGGACAGGCCATATGAAGCCACGACCAAGCACAAAGGCAAGTTGGAGCTGACCATTCTACTTGTGGACTGTCTAAATGATAAAAAAACTGGTAAAGGACAGGGCCTACCACCTCGGTAAACCTCACATAGGTGGGCTACCTGTCCATTCACATAAGGCTCATACAGAAAAACAGGACGAAGCTCACGCGTTCCAATTTGAAAGCATAAACGCCTCGAGTCTACCAAACAAACTGGATGAATCACGTGAACTTAGCAACGCACACCTGATAGGAATATCTGAAACCTGGATATCTTCTCAGTTCTCGGACCAAGAGTTAGCATCACCTGGGATTACTTTGTTCCGCAACGACAGAATAACAAGAATTGGGGGCGGAGTAGCCATATACATAAGCTCTTGCTTGGAAGTGCACCAAGTTCACAACCTTGAGTTTAACAATCTTGAGGAATCCATATTGTGCTCTGTAAGATTGTCTAGTACTTCGAGGTGTCTAGACTGTGTCAATTACAGGAAGCCAACTGCCGACATCGAGTACGATAGTCGTATGCTGGAAGGACTATCCTGCTCTACCCGTCTCGGTTTCACACACATCCTGATTCTAGGGGACTTTAATCTCCCTAGAGTCAACTTCGCGGAACACACGTACACGGGAGGCGACAACTCAATTAAAGCTCGGTTCTTCAACCTCATCGATGACTTGGGCTTATATGAAAATGTGAGGTCGGCAACTCGTTGGAGAAACAGTCAAACACCATCTCGGTTAGACTGTGTATTCACAAACGAAGAATTCCTAGTTGACAACCTCTCAATCTTGGCTCCTCTGGGAAAGAGCGATCATGCCGTCATAGCCTTCAGTTTTGTCACCAAAACTAAGCTAAGTTATCCCAACAATAATTTGCGTTGGAATTTTAGACGGCTGAATGTGCCAGCTCTACACGACTATTTACAACAGGTGGTTTGGGATGTTCACACCAACTCGATGTTGACGGTCACTGGAACTTCTTACTGCACATGCTCTTATCTAATCAAGAACCGTACCCTTCGCCTGCTAAGCCGTAAAAGGCACTGTTGGGCGGAATACAAACGAACTAATAACGACGGAGCGTTAAGGGAATACAAACATATAAGGAACATATGCACGAAGGCTTTAAGAGAAGACAGGCTTCATTATCAGACAAAACTTATGGACAAATTTGCCTCGAACCCTCGAAGCCTATTCCGTTATGCAGCCTCTCTTCGTCAAGCCAAAACAGGAGTTTCTCAACTGCTAGGTCTTAACAGCCCATCCAACAACGATGGTGACGCCGCTAACCTTCTAGCGGCACATTACTCTCAAACATTTCAGCCGGCTGACATCAACTCTATTGACGACAGTTTCACCTGTAATTCCACAGGGCTTTCCGAAGTGGACCTAAGCGCTGACTTGGTGTTCCGGAAACTGCAGCACTTAAGACTAGATACTTCTCCTGGCTCGGATATGGTTCATTCTGCCATACTGAGGGAGGCAGCCTCAATCCTGGCAACGCCGCTTAGCGTGATGTTCTCACACTCGCTAAGCCGAGGCAAATTACCGGAAAATTGGAAGTTGGCTCACATCACACCAATTTTCAAAGGGAGTCGACGCAATGAACCTTCAAGTTATCGGCCGGTGGCTCCGTAGTGGCATTGAACCATAATCACACAATCGTCAAAGCTGAATACGAGATTACTCGGGAAAAAGATATCCAATATTTAACGCAAAGAAATACCTAACGATGAAGAAGGCGCGAATAATGAACTGAATAGACTGGAGTTGATCGGATGGCATGGCTCGGCCATGCAGGCGTGGTCCATTTGAATGTTACCTTATATCTTCTTTTTATATTAAATATATTGTTCCTTCTCTAGCCTTACCTTGTTCTACATCATGTATTGGTAATTGACACGATACAGTGAGTTGGTGTAGTCGATGGTGTGACTTCCACGACTAAGTCTA